GTGATTTATGGGGTTTTGGGGAGGAGGGCGGTGGATAGGCTTGTTGGGGGCTGTGAGGAGTGGGAGGGGGATTTGGGGAGGGGGGACTTGGAAGAGATGGTGGAGAAGGATGATTCGGGGATTTGAGGAGGGGGGTGGGAAGGGGGGTTATATATTGTAATAGCGTTCATGTGTATTTGTTATGTTGGTTTAGTGGTTTGTTTCTTGGGGAAGGGCAAGGGGTAATAGTATCGAATCATGGCTTTGAAGAGCAGTAATGGTAACTTTTAGTCTTTACATGTTAACTCTATTTGATGGTGTGCGGTGGTGGTGGTGGTGGTGGCTTTCTAGGTGTGTTTTGTTCCTGGTGTATCAACTGGGGAGATGACAGTGGTCGTATCAGGTGAGTTCTTCGTCGTTTCTGGGGTATCAAGCGGAGAAACTGGGCTCGGTGTCGGTGGTGGTGGCTTCTGACCCATCTCTAGAGTCTCTGATGGTGAAGCGGGAGTCACCGCAACAACCTCAGCGTCGTCTATGTTCATGATGGGCACATCCGGCTCCATCTCCAGCTCTGCCCGTCCATGAGATGACCACAACTCTGGTCTGTATGACGTGTCCTCCATCTCCCAAGCTTCATTCTGGTTACAAGGCAGCTCAGACGTATGTCTCTCCGCATCTGCTTCATGTAGACCGGCCTTTTTGTCAACCTTGAGGGTACTGTACGGGCCATCGACGTCTACATCATTCTGTTTTTGTTTTCTTTGGCGCCGTCACCATCCTCGTGCCATTGATAGTGGTAATCCGGTCGGCCCTATCCCGACCTATATCATCCCACCACACCATTGTGCTCAGAGCAGTCACCTGGATCTTTTTTGTAAAGCATACACCCACCGCTGACGCAGGCGTACGATGCCGGACAGCAGCCTCCTGCCACGCCATGTTGGCTGTGAACCACCGGGAAACACGGCAGCTCTTACCTCCCACCGTCTCAGGGCAAGCTCCATACCCGCCTTTATCCGGACATGATTGACGTAGATCCCCCCACGGTACGATCGAGGCAGGTCGGTCGAAAAAGCAACGGTCATCCCTCCCCCCAGGTCCTCCACAGATCAATCCGACGGGACAACACCCAAGGCAATCTCCCCCGCAGTCAAAATAACTCGGCAGACCACAGGCGTTGGGGAGAGCGGCAGTGGTAGAGGAGGTCTGGGTGGAACTTGCGCTTGTCTGAAGAGTAGCCGTACGCGGTACGAAGAAATTCCACCAGCGCCGTGTTACTCGTGTCAACCAGCACCTCAATCGCCCGGAGATCCCATGATGTAGTCGGGGTAGCGGTAGTCAATTTGGGTGTGCGCTGATGGGTAAGGTAGATAAAACCAAGGCCATCTAACGAAATGGCTCAAACTGCCCTTTGTACCATCCTGTTCCCTCAGACCAGGCAGGCAGAACGGCGCGAGAGAGGGTTGTGTGCCAAGTATTATTGGTTCTGTACTCGAGGCTTGTGTGACTGAATATCGATTACTTCCTATATCAAAGAGTGCAACCTTTGTCCAAGTGATTGGTTCCCTTGAGGGTGTTGATGCAAGGTATTTCGAGGGGGTGTTGGTGCTGCGTAACCAGGTAAATTACTGGGGGCTGTGCTGATAGTGCGGCTCTATTGGTGTTCGAAAAGACTTTTCAACTGCTCCGTTGAACAGTAGGTCTGTACTGTCTTTGGAGGGATATCCGCGTCTTTCTCCTTCTCAGATACTACCCCGTAAGATGGAGGCAGTTCCCGGGACCTACATGACGTATCTTCCAACTCCCACGCTTCTGTTTTGATGTCGTTGCAAGCCATCTCGTGCGTGTGTCGCTCCGTGTCCGCCTCAAACACCCTTCGTGTGTCTGCTTCGTACACATCAGACTTTTCCGCCAGCTCAACAATGGACTTCTCAGCCAGTTCCGCTGCAGGGCTATCTTTGCTGTCGCCGTCCTCCTTTCTGTTTCGTCGCTGTCGTCGAACAAAGAAGAACAGCCCCGCAATGATCATCAGGCCAACCGCAACGCAAGAAACAACAATTCCCGCAATAATCCCCGTCCCTAAGCCTCCTTTCGGTTCCGTATCGATACCTGTTGGAAGCCTGGAAGTCGTGGATGTCCCCTCGAGAAGAGGGCTGGTAGTGGTCCCTTCGAAGAAAGGATCGGTAGTCATCATAGGAGCCGCATTGAAAAGACGGGTGAGAGACACCTGTATATCCGGCGGATAAGAGTAGTCCATCACAAAAGTCGAGGGTGTTGTCCCAGCCTCGACACTCCCGTATGACACCCAGCTGGTGAGTGTTTTCTGAACCTTTTGCGTGAGCATGCAGCTGCCATCCAGGCAGGCGTAGGAGGAAGGGCAACAGCCTCCTGCGGACGGAAACTGTAAGCAAGTCCACCTAGGTAGGTAATCATCAGCGTCAAGCTTACCTCCTGCCTCCTCATCACATTGCCCATACCCCAACAGCCCGAAGCATCTCCCAGTAAAATCCACGTTGGTCGACGGAGTGCTGGGGATGATGCACCGATCCATCTCTTCGGCACACGCATACCCCGTGGGACAGCATCCTTCACTTTCGTTGCTCCCACACTGGTAATACCCCGTTACCAGCGCGCTACAGGCGATCCTCTGGGAAGCTGTTTCGGCGAACGGGAAAGGAGCAGTAGTCGTAGCGCCTGTCGTGGTGGCGCTTCCGAGGCCCGCGGGCGTCATCTTTTGGAACAGGCAGATATATGCACGAAATCACTGAATATCGGGAGAAAACAGATTGAGCTTGCCATTGATATTTGCCTCGCCCCGCCCCCCCTAATACCGCGCTTAGAGAACGCCGACGGAAATTTGAAAAGATGGCATGCCAAGCGACGGGATTCTGAGATGAGGGGTGGTCATTGGCTCGTTTGAAGCGATGCTACCTCGACGCGTGGGAATCATCGCGTCTGAAAATGCGAAACAATGGTAACGATCTATTGAAGTTGATATCTTGGAGGTTAGGCATCTAAACAAGGGTTAGGGCTGAAGCAGCAAACAACTCTTGACAGGGGGTTGGTTGTGTTCCAGACATTCGATGCCAAGAAATACCCCGATTTGTGACATCTCACATTACACAATCACCTTCGCACTAGAGAACTCGATCGAACAAGACCTTTCTCCAAGTAGCCAAAGACATCAACGGTTGAGGTGGTTGGGAGGGAGCCAAACAGGGGCCCTTGTCCAACAAACCGATGATCAGGGCTTTCACCGCTCCGCGGTTTGGGATCACTTCAGCAGCAAAAATTCCACCACATCACGAGGTCACAAACCTGGTGTTTTCCTCTCCAACTCCCTTGCAAGCAGATGCCGCCTCACAACTTCTCTGGGGGTTACCCAGGCTAAGATTTGGCGCACTGTTCAACTTGCACAGCAGCAAGGGAGGGACTTCTAAGCTGACAATGTCCTGATGACCTCGTCATAGCCCTTACAAAGAGCTCCAAGTGTGAAAATTTGCACCTTCACCTGATGCCCCTGCCGAGGATTTGCCATCCAGCCACTGGTGGTTTCCAGATCCATGATGGGGCTCGTCAATCGTTGTCCAATTCCTTGGTTTCTTCAAGCCTGTCATTGGAGTTTCTGTTCATGGTCGGGTTCAAGTCGGGTACATCCGCATGGGCTGGTGTCAGGGGGGAACCTCCAATTCGGTCGACTTGCACGTCAGCCGCCACTGTGCCCGGTTGGCTAGAATTGCGGCTCTCACAAGGGATTTTTGCTGACGATGGTGACTTTCCCCCCCCATGAAGTCCTGATTCAGGAAGCATGTGGCCCATTAATGACACCCTGGTACCCAGCGCTGCGGATATGGCGGCTCTTCCCGGGGCTAGCTGTGGTTGGGGCGGGGGATTTGTTCCTGGGATACCAAAGTACCGGTTTCGGGGCTAGAGTAAAAGGCAGAGGGGGGCGTGTTGTTCAGCACCAAGCCACGATCGAGGGATGGACTCATGGAAGAACGACCGGACACAACTAGTGTCAGGAGACTAGCCAGGCCAAGGCTGTCAGAAAGGAAAGAAAAAAACCATGGAGGACTTGCCGTATGGGATATATACTTCCGCCGGCAACATCGAAGGAGACTTTACAGCCGGTGACGAGCCTGCTCTTTCTGTTGTTCAGTTAAAACTCACCTTGACAGTCACCATATTCTTTGTGTCATCGCTATGGAAAGCACGGCCTCAAAGCAGCTACCACCGACGACAAAGGGCAACATGACGCGGCCACGACCGTTGTCGACCTTCTCGTCGGCCTCCACCCATCTCGATATCTTTACCCCCATTACTCCCCCAACGATCACCCCCTTCCTAACCCTCAGCACCACCCCCGCGCCTCCTGTGGACCCAGAAAACGGCGTGTCAACAAAGGAGATGATAGTAGACTCGCCACCAGAAGGTGGCCTGCAAGCGTGGTTGACAGTTGCTGGATCCTTCTGCATCACCACAGCCGTGTACGGATTGAGCAACTCTGTCGGTGTCATCCAACCCTACTGGGCCCAGCACCATCTGTCCTCCTTTCCGATCCAAGACATCGCCTGGATCTCAGGCGCCAACATCTTCCTGTGTTTGTTCCTGGGCGTCCAGGTCGGCCCATGGTTTGACCGGTTCGGTCCGAGATGGCTGCTGATGGCGGGTAGTCTGGTGTACCTAGCAGGACTTGTCGGGCTAGGCTTCCTGCCAGAAGAGAGCGATGTCCATGTCAGACAGGGCGTGCGAGCTCCGGGTGTCATGTATGGTCATTTGATGCTTCTTTGGGGTATCGTCATGGGTTCGGGGGCGGCTTTATGCTGCACTGTTGCTCTCTCTGTTCTCGCGCACTGGTTCGAAAAGAAGAGGGGGTTGGCGGCAGGGATTGTCTTTGTTGGTAGCAGCGTGGGGGGTGCTGCTTTTCCGTTGGTGTTGAGGACCACGCTGCCCAAGTTGGGATGGGCATGGAGCATGAGGATCCTGGCTCTCATTGTGACATCGCTGTTGGGTATGGGGAACATCCTAATCAAGGGTCGCATCAAGGGTCGACGGGGGTCGGGGGCGATCAACTTTGGATGTTTTCGAGACGCTAGCTTTCTGTGGACGACTGTTGGTTGCTTCAGTATGTGCCTTCTCGACTTTGGACTGTGGTTTACTTGCTAACATGTGGCCAACAGTGAACCAGTTCATCCTGATCGCGGGATTGGGTATGGTCCCGACATGGGCTCTCGCAAAAGGATTCGAAGAGCAATCGACTTTTGTGATAGTCGCCGTGATGAGTGGGTGAGTGTGGCCTGGCATGTTGAACACCACCCCGCCCCCCCCCCCAGAAATATCAGCTAACGCGACGACAGAGGCTCAGGAGTTGGACGGCTGGTGGCGGGTGCCATCTCGGACAAGATTGGCCGGTTCAACACCATGATCTTGACCACCATCTTCTCTATCATCACAACATTTGCCGTCTGGATGTTGGTGGAAACGGACAGGATGTGGCTACTCTACCTGTTCGCAGCCCTCTTCGGCTTCGGCACCGGTTGTGTCATCAGCATCGGGCCGATCTGTGTTGGGCAGTACGTGCTCCCTCAACTTGAAGAGCACGGGCAACAGCTTTGCTGACCGACATCCTAGACTCACGGTTCCCAACAAGTTTGGGCAGTACTACGGTACAAGTTACAGCGTGGTCAGCCTTTCGTAAGTCTAGAAGCCTGATCTCAGGATCCAAATGAGAACACCTGTACTGACTGGGGCAAAAGGTCGTTGCTTTGCATTCCTCTAAGTGCCTCGATCCTCGAGAACCTAGGCACAGAGGGTTTTGTCCTTGTTTTTGGTGCAGTGTTAATTTCGGCGTTGGCAGCGTTTTCGTTGGCGAGGTTCACAATCCAGGGCTGTGCGTGGCGCTGGAAAGACGTGGTATGACGTTTGGTTGTTGACCGTGATTTCTTTTTGTTGTCTGTGATGAAGGGAAGGGATGCCGTTGAAGAAGAGATATGGAAAAGGAGAAAAGATAAGATGGCTTGGCATGAAGATGATGATGAGACGGAAGTTTTTTCCCGAATGCCTCTGGAGTTGTGCCTACCCAGGTAGCTTCCATTTTTGCGTGCCGCCCTGCCTCGCCTCACGGAAGTCACGGAAGCAAAGGTGAGGAATGTGAGCTAGGTAAGTAAATATTTTCTTTCTCCTGACTATGGTTCTCCATCATGAAATTGGCGTCGACTTCCAAGCCTAGGCCGGACAGAAGTGCTAAAAACGTCATCCCGAGACCTGCATATCAGAATCGAGACATGCGTTGGATAAAGAAAGGGTCACCGGATGACACCTAGGTGCCTTGGCACTTCTCTCCTCAGCCACATTCCCTACCAGCCAACAAACACATATCTCAGCGATCACATCAGAGGCCTGGACATGATGGAAGTTAGCGAGGCAAACACCACATACATGGAGCGGGTTATCGGGTACCACTCCATCTCGGGCGCTTGTATAAACATGAGCACCTTATAGTGGGCAGCATGCCCGATCTACTATCAAAGCCGCAATGATAAACGTAACAGGGAGTCGATGATGGCTCTGTCGCATTTATCCTAAACCGCTAACCAATGCAACCTCGCGACTGTGGACCGTCACCGGGGGGCTCCTCCATTTGGAAGGTCGCTGCTCGGTAGTTCTATGCACGATGCCGTTAGTTGCCCTAACTGCCAGTCTCCGACGTTCAACAGGGCAAGTCTTGGCCGACTTTCCCAATGCTTGGATGGCCCCCCCAGACCAGCCCCTGACCCCCTGCTACCCCCGCGCCTCTCATGCGACCACATGCCCTGACGGACAATGACGAATCGACGACGGCCTTCCTACTTTGGTAGGTGAGACACCAGCATGTTATCTAGACCTGAGCGATTTCCAGGTTCTCGAACGCTCACCACCTGCACCAGTTCAAACTGCAACGACTGTTTAAAATGTTAAATAACTGGAAAGCTCACCCCTTTCGTCTTCACAACGCCCAGCCTTTCTAGCCAGGTCTGGATTGCTAGGCGTTCAACCTTTCCGGATTCAACATGAAACAGTTTGTGCCAGCTGCCGCCGTGGTGGCGCTCCAGGTCACCGCGTCTCTCGCGGAGGAGCTGCTGCCTGTTCAGATCAGGGCTCCCAGCCCAGCACACTTCTCCGATCTCGTGGCCAACAACACGCTCGATTTCGGCTGCAGGCCCATCGCCCATCCCACCAGCGATGGCAAGTTTGAGCTCCAGGCTCTCCTCACCAGAGACCAGATCAGCTGGCTTCACGGCGAGTACAGCTCGGACGAGGCCATCACCGTCCAGGAGACTGCCCTCGACAAGCGCCAAACCTCGGGCAAAGCCCCCATCGGCACCGGCGATCGCTTCAGCGGCGGCTCCGTGACCCCCTCGGGCCTCGGAACCAAAGCCAGCACGGCCAGCATCGCCAGCATCCTCAACGTCAACGAGATCAACTCTGCGCTCACCGGCCTCGCAAACGCCTACCCGGGCGCCTTCTTCAAGTACAACCTCCCCTACACCACCTTCCAAGGCCGCACCTCGGTCGCCGCCTACACCGGAGCCGGTCCCGACACGTCAAAGTACCGGCTCTACCTCTCGGCCGGCATGCACGCCCGCGAGCGCGGCGGGCCCGACAACCTCCTCTACTGGGTTTCTGACCTCCTCGCGGCGAACAAGTCCGGGTCTGGGCTGACTACGGCAAAAAGACGTACACCAACGCCCAGGTAAAGTCTGTGCTCAGCGCGGGGATTGTCCTCTTCCCGCTCGTCAACCCAGACGGCGTGGTCTACGACCAGTCGTCTGGTTCTCTCTGGCGCAAGAACAGGAACACCCGCTCTGGCTCGTCGGGCGCGTCGGTGGGCGTTGATCTCAACCGCAACTTCAACTTCCTCTGGAACTTTCGCAAGTTCTTCTCTTCGTCCGTCTCCCCTGCTTCTACAAGCCCTAGCTCGGAGGCGTTTTACGGCACCGCTCCCGAGTCAGAGCAGGAGACCAAGAACCACGTCTCCGTCTATGACAAGTTCCCCGGCATCAGATGGTTCATGGACATTCACTCTGCCGCGGGGACGATTTTGTATTCTTGGGGGGATGACGTGAATCAGTCGACGGATCCAAAGATGAACTTTTTGAACTCGACGTATGATGGGAAGAGGGGGGTGACGGGGGATAGTGTGTACAAGGAGTACATCCCTGCCGCGGACGCGACTGCCATCAAGAGGGCGGCGGATGCCACCGTAGCGGGTATGAAGGGTGTGGGTTCGAGGAGCTATGTTAGCCAGCAGGCGGTGGGGCTGTATCCCACCTCGGGGGCGAGTGATGATTATGCTTTTAGCAGGTTTTGGGCTGAGCCGGGGGTGAGTAAGGTTTATGGGTTCACGATGGAGTTTGGGTACTCGACCAATTTTTATCCGACGACGGCCGAGTTCAACAATAATATTCGGGATACGAATGCTGGGTTTATGGAGTGGGCGTTGACTGCTATTGCTGTCGGGTTGTAGTGAGGGAGGAGGGTTGTATATAAGATGGGGCGGTATATATTTGTAAAGGATGAATGAGAACATGAATTGAACATGAGCATGGCGGTGGCACGGATGAAGCGTGATAATGTTCAGGTTGGATCCCCTCATGAAATCAGTGAATTGAGTGCTCATTGAATCATTGAATCCCGCGCTGAAAGATTACCCCCAAGGTGGCGCTGCAAACTCTAGACTCGTCTACAGGTCCCCCCGCCCTCAAATGACCTCTTGCGATGATCAGACCATTCCTATCCCATAACCAGAACTCCCAAAAACAAAACCCAACCTCGATCCCAAACAGATAGAACCCCCCTCACGGTCAATAATACACCCTCTCCCTCTCCCTCTCCCTCTTCCTCCCCCTCCTCCGTTCCCTCTCCCCCCTTCTCTCCCCCTCATAACCCTCACTCTCCTCCCTCCCCCCCTTGGAAGCATGCCACCCATCCCAATAATACTGACACCTCTCATCCGGACACCCCGGATACCTCCGAAAGTTATCAGTGTACTTTCTCTCTGTAATCGCCCTATTATTCTCCCACCCAGGCACAAAGCCGCAGTGTCGACTATGACCTAGAATGCTCTGTGTCAGCCTTTCCTGTTCCGCTACCCCTACCTACCTACCTTCCCTGGGGGAGGGAGGTTGGGTTGAGGTGAACTGACATCTAACAACCTTGATCTTGATAAAATGCCCGCACGGCTCAAAATGCAGCCTGACCTGTCGGCACATTTCCCCTCGAGAGCATCACCTGTGATAGGTCGGTTGGTGGTGTTAATCGTGTCTGTTGGATGGTTATCCAATGACGGTTTTGACGCGGGGTTCCGCTGCTGAGAAGTTGGCTGAAATCTCCCTATCTCGTTCTCCTCATCTAAAAAAGGAGTTGCAAACAGAGAGATAACAGTGAAGATTATCTCTCGCAAAGATTCCCTAGGGTGTTTTTTTGGGGGGTTTTTTTTTTTTGAAAGATCAAAGCGGGCTCAGCAGGCGGCGGTTCGGGAATCGGCTCTGTGTGTTTGTGTGTGAGGTGCGTGTGCACAATGCTCATGTGGATCCCCCACCTCATGACACACGATGCCCCTCCCTCCCTCCTCCTCCGTGCCTCCTCGCCAATTTATCAGTCACACACGCGCCGCAACACATGATGGGCGGAGGGGGGGGAGTGGAGGGGAGGGGAGGGGGCTGTTTACATCGCCCCCAAAAGGTCACGCGGGGTCAACATCATCACAAAACAAAACATCCAACACCACTCAGTTTTGTTTATTGTAGGATAGGTAAAAAGCAGGCTACCCTTCTATTCATTTTGCTGCTCGCCGCTCGCCAATTACTAATCTTTTTTCTTCTACCAATAAAACCACATCATCATCAACAACAAACGCTAAAATATAAAGAAAATATAAAAACAACACGCCCATTGCATTGCCATGAAATTCAAGATATCTTCCATCCACCGGCTTGCCTTTTTTTATACAACGCTGCCAACACACACACTCCACCTAGTCATCATCGTCATAACCCCCGCTGGCAGCAGGCGTCTCCGCCGTGAAGGGGGCCGGCGTCGGAGCACCATAGTATCCCGAGCCGGAGGCACCAGGAGTGGGCGCAGTGGCAGCAGGTGTTGGCGCTGTGTCCCCACCCCATCCACCTGCCCACACGCCCGGAGTGGGAGCGCTGATGGGTGCCGGCGTTGGTGCCGTGTAGGCGCCCGGAGTCGGAGCACTGAACGCTCCCGGCGTGGGCGCACTGAGACCGGCGCCGGGCGTGGGCGCGTCGTACGAGTTGCCGCTGGCTCCGGGAGTGTATCCCCAGTCGGCACCGCCACTCGCAGCAGGGGTTGGTGCCGAAAGACCGCCGCCATAAGCAGGAGTCTTGGAGCCCCAGGTGTCGCCGCTGCCGCTTCCACCGTAGGCGGGTGTCTTGGATCCGTGGCCAAAGCCGTCATGGGCAGGTGTCTTGGAGCCAGAGTTCCACGCCGGGGTGCGCCCGCCGCTGCCGCCGTAAGCCGTGGCGCCTCCATAGGCAGTCCGGTTGCCGTCGTATGGGTTGGCAGTCCGAGAGCCGTCTTGCCACGCAGGTGTTCGTGCGCCAGAGGCATTGCTGCTCCAGGCAGGTGTACGAGAGGAAGCTAGGTAATTTGTTAGTGCGTGTGTTGACATCGTCAAGAAGGAACAAGACTTACATGATGCACCGCCCCAAGCTGGGGTACGGCCGCCGGCCCCAGAAGCCATTGGGGTTCTACCACCGGGCCAGTCTCCTCTACCACCACCACCACCACCACCACCAAACCCACCACGTCCAGAACCACCAAACCCGCCCCCACCGCGTCCGCCACGGGAGTAGATGTCAATTGGCTTACCAGTGACCTTGTCCTTGAAGGCAAGGTCCGCCTTTGGCACGGTAATAATCTTGCTCTTGGTGTGGAGCTCAACACGCGCATGGGTATCCGTGGTATCCTTGACGATACCCAGCAAACCCTTGTATCCACCCCTCCTGATAGTGACAGTCTGGTTGATGGCACGGTCCGGACCGAAGCTCTTTGGTGCAGCCATGCGGTTGTTCTCGGCAGGGCTTCGCTTCATGGCCGGGTTCATGGCAGTCAAGTCAGGACCACCGCCGCTGTTGATGCGACCACCCTTGGCCGCGATGGTGTTGACGTTGCCGGCGCGCGTGACAAAAACGCCGGCATTCTCGTTGGTCGTGTTGGTGTGTAAGAAGATGAAAGAGCGATGAATGTGAATGATTTTACCCTGCCGTTGTTGACCACCGTACTCACGGACAACATCATCCAGACGAATCTCGGAGCCGCTCCTGTCAGCAGCCACGGCAGTTCTCCTCTTTGGGAGCTTGTTGGTAATCTGAGAAGGCATAACCTGCCTCACCTCTCCATTCTGGTCAAGCACCCCCACTGACTCACGGTCAACCTTGACGATGCAGCCAACAGTCGTCGCATCCAGCTGCACCAGATCAAGGAGGGAGTACTGGCCAAGCGATCCCTGTCCTCCAATATCACTGGCGGCGCGGAGGTCCTTGCTGAATACTGTGACCTCGTTGTTGGTCTGATCCGTGAGCAGGGTGACACGATCCTGCGAGATGTTGACCACCATGCCCACCTCGTCACGGAAACGGCTGCCGCCGATGACCTTGACGTGGTCACCAATCTTGAACAGCTTGCGAAGACCTTTGTTGGGCACCTCGATGGTCTGCCCAGCGAGGTTTCCTTCCGTGACTCTGAGTGTCACTATGTCACCGCGAACATCGACGGCTTTGCCAACCACTCCGCGCTGTTCGCCCTCGTACACTTCGATCACATCTCCGGGGACATAAGCAACGTTGGAGCTGCTGTCTTTCAAGCTGGCAGCAAGAGCCTTGAGGTCAAGGTTCTCTGTGCCATCCTCGGAACCACCGGCGAACCGTGTGACCTCTTCGAGCGTGGGGTTTACATCCTTGACATCGAGCAGCTGAATCTTGATATCTTTGACTTGGAACCCATTCTCAAACTCGTCACCCATAAATGTCCACGAGTTCGTCTGTGGGTTGCCCTGGAGATGTCGTGGGTTCTTTTTCCTGGCCTCGGCTTCGCTGAAGAGCCGCTGGGGTGGGCGGGGTCCAGGGATGCCGGGACGCTTGCGCTTGCCATCTGGACCGATGCCATCCTCTCTTACACCATAGTCCAGACGGGGAATGAACCTAACTCTAGCTTCCAGTCCATTCTCGGTGACGTCGAGAACCTGGGCGAGATCTCCAGCGTGCTTCGCAGGCCTTTTCATGCGCACCCAGGCACCAGGTGTCAGGCTCGGGGTCTTGATGACGCGCAAGAGATCGGGCATGTCCTTGATCGGAACCAGATCCATCTTGGTGCGAGGGTACACGTTGAGAATGCCGTCCAAAGAGAGCAGGATGTCGTTTTGGCGGAGCGCCTCGATGTAAACGTAACCCTTCATGACGGAATTGGGCCCGGCACGCTCAAAGGCAGCAGTGATGGGCAGCTCATTCTTGGTACCAAGTCTCTCCTCAACACGGCGGATGATGGAGAAGACAACCTCGCGCTCCTTGCCTTCCTTGCACCTAACGGCCCAGATGCCGGGGTCATTGACGCTGGGAAGAAGCAGGCGCTTGGGCACAATGGCCATGTCACTGTATCCTCTGGTGGGCGCACGTTTGCCATAACGCTCACGCAGGATCTCGGCTTGCTTTTCGGCGTCGAGGCTGGCCTCCAGCTCGCGTCTCCGGTCGAGGTCACGATGTCTCCTGTCGTCGTTCATGCCGCCGCTGTCGGCGATATCGTCAGGGTGGGCATTGTCGATGAAGTCCTCGATCTCCTCGCCATCTCTGTCGTCGGCTTCGTCTTCGTCTTCATCGTCGACCTCGGCTTCGATATCGAACAGATTGCCCACACCGGCAGGCTTGCGACGTTTCCTGCGGTGGCTCTGCGCGATCCAAGTCAGCAATTGGAAAGAGAAGCGAAGCGGGATGCAGACTCACATGCTGCACGTCATCCTCATCTTCTTCGTCCTCTTCGTCCTCCTCGTCATCTTCATCGCCATCTCGGTGACCACCGCCCTCCTCATCGTCTTCCTCCTCTTCATCATCCTCGCCGCCCTCATCATCATCATCATCATCATCAGCGGCGATGCGCGGACGCTTGGTGGCGCGACCCGAGGGGCGTTCATCTTCGTCTTCATCTTCGTCGTGGTCCTCGTCGGCTACCGGGCTGCTACTGCGATGGTCGTTCTTACGGGACACGCGGGGACTGCTGTCGTTGGCATCCTGTTCCTCATCCGACAGGTCGGCTGGGGCCGGGTTGAAGTTGTCGTCTTCTGACTCGGAGTCGCCTCCGTAGTGGTTGTCGGCCATGGTGGGAATTCGGAATTCGCAATTGGTTATCTGGCAATTCGGATGCTGCTGAGGCGGCGAATCGCCAGAGACAAGCTGCGCGGTGTGAGCAGCAGGAGAGTGCTGGGGAGTTGGGTTTGTTGTAGAAGGGAAAGTTTCGTTTGGCCGGCGGACAAAAGACCGCTGCTGTCCTCGAGGCGCAACAACTGAATGATGGAGCTTGCAGGCTGCGTAGCGCGGCGCGCTAGTGCTGTTTGAGAATCCCGGTCGGGCTCGGCGCCAGCAACAGCTTTTCTCCGTTGTGGCCTGTGCGCTCTTTCTTTGACTGTCGTCGCTCTCTGAAACTCATCAAACATTCGAGCGGCACTGGTTTTCTTTGGGAATTAAGAAAAATATGATGTTTGAGAATTAAAATCTTAAGAACGAGGGAGTGGTTACCAAATGAATATTTAGGGAAACGTTGTCCACGAATGCTCGACCGACACATTCCTTCTCTCCGCAAACCAGTCCATTCTTTGGCGGGCTCAACATGAAGTATCACTCCTGTCTACGATTTTTTTACGCTCCTTGGCCAGGTAACTGCCTCGTAGTTACCTGGCTGCACAAGTTAAGATGGAACGACGGCTGCTTACTTACAAGTTGCAGGGTTCGAAAGTTGATGTGATGAACTGTCTCTCGCGTCATAGCAGCATTAGATTGCCTTCTGGACAGAGCTCTGGGCACGGGTTGTGGGGACAATACTAGCAACGACATAAGACAGCATCTCACTAGATACAAGAGATGTCAGAACACTGAATATTTGACTCTGGAACAAGGACGATCAAGTACACAAATCACAAAATCACACCCCAGCGCCTACCACCCGCCCCAACAACCCAGCTCGTATACCAAAAACCACCAAATCAAAACCGGAACGCCCAATGCCAAGACCCGACCCTCTTTGTTTCCCTTCAACCCCCTATCTTCACACTCCCTTGAACACAACCCCCACTCCAGAACCCCTCCACCCCCCTCACCTTGGGCGTCAACGGCGGCGAGGGCGGATTCGACCTCACCTCCACAACAGGAACCTCGCTCTCCGCCGTCACTACCCTCTCCACCCCACCCCCATCCCCCACCGTGACAAAGCTCCCTTCGCTCATCGGCCTCTCTTCCGACATGAACCGCAAGTCAGCCTCATCCAAATCATCCAGCAAAGCCGACATCCGCTTCGGTCTGGGAACAGGCAAGTTTCTCGGGAGAGAAGGCCGGCCAGCTGCCATGCGGCGGTACTGTTGCGTCAGGGCGGAAACAGAGCTAAGACGGGCTTGTTCAGAGCAAAGATAAACTTCTCGAAGAGGGAGAGGTTGCGGTTGGTGGTGAGGGTCAAGGGAGGAACTGATTGTGTGGCAGAGGTGGTGTATCTTGGACTGGAGGAGGGAGAGGTTGGTGTGGAGGGTTTGGCAGGTTCGATCTGGATTGGGATGGATCAGATATTCTACCCTTACGCTGAAACAAACAAACAAACAAACAAACAAAAAAAGCCACGGACCGTCGCCGGCTGCAAACTCGGGACCGATGAGAGTAAAGCCGATTTGATAGGTAGACTGAATCCGGTAGCTGGACATGTCAAGAGAGGTGCCCACGGCGCATTTGATCGGGCGGACACGGGCGGCGGCGGGGTGGAAGCGGTGGGTGCTGGTGCTTGTGTGGTAGCTGTTTGATGCTTGTTGCCTCTGTAGCCAAGTGTTGTAAAAGTCCAGGCCGGCTTCTAATGCAGAGGCGAGGCGCTCGACAAGTCCGTCCACCCTCGCCAGCTCGACCTCGTCAGCAGCATCAAGCGTGGGAGTGGTGGTGGTGGTAGTAGTAGCGGCCAGGGCTTCTGACATGATTGCTACCAATTTGCGTAAGAGGGGAAAGGACAGCCATCGGCATGGCAGACAAAGACTTTGAGCCACATGAAAGGGCTGGTCTCTTATCTTTCAAGCCGTTTCGCGGGTGCTGCTGCTGCTGCAGGGCTTATCTTGATGTCCCCCAAGATAGGTAGCCATGCAGGAAGTGGAAGTGGCGTCGAATGGGGGAGCGCGACACAAATCTGGACGTAATTCCTGCCTGGGAAGGCATGATCGGAAGTCGCTTTGGCGGAGTGGTTAACGCGCGCCCCTGCTAAGGGCGTTCCCTCGGGAGCGTAGGTTCGAATCCTGCAGGCGACGATGTTTTTTGTGCCCCTCATCTTTCTCTCTTATTTACTGGATAACGGGCCCACCCCCTCGGTTTTCACTTGGAAAGTGGCTTTGCCAGATCATATATAGCATCTCGTCGTACTCCAGGGGGGTCCCAATTGATGATCAATCAATCCCCCAACCACCCCAGAAACAATGGTTCCCGATAAGATCTGCCATGTCATTGAACTTCGGTAATGGATTAAGTTCGAGTGCCAACTCATCCATTTGTCGATGAGATAACGATAGCCGGCCTTCACTCGCTTGAATTGCACCCAGTACGTGAAAACCTCATACAAGGCTCTGTCCCAGTACTCGGGAAACATATTCCCGTCTATGACCTCTTGGTAAACATCCTTGTATGATTTCCCTCGCCTCCATGCCCACGTGTCCAGGAAATCGCGCTCTACTGTGAAGCCCTCGGCCGTTGTCAGAATCTGCCCGGGCGCTGGCAACCTCTCGACTCTCATCAGCGACATGCGCAGCCAGTACAGATACTTCTGCCAGCATTCGGTAAGCAGCCTGGGCTTGTTCTCCATGTCTTCAACGTGGCTTTCCAAGAAGCTGTGCACCAACCTTCTGCCTGAGCCAAAGACACCGTTTCCCCCCCATCATCTCCACCATGATGATTGACCACAGCTCGTGTTTGCGACTAAACAGCTCGTGTCCGTATCTTGCCAGCCGAATGTGCGGCACATGGTCTTTATCGATATGTTCCTCCTTAGCGAAGCAAGACCATTCGCTGGCGAGCGGGTGGTGGTTCACGTCGATGTAGATCGGTTTCAGATCGGGGAGGGTGTTGTTGTGCTCTTCTTCCCAGGCGGTCAGGTCGACGCCTTCGAGGTCGTGCCTGTAGACGAGCTCCAGCGGGAAGGGCTCGAGCGGCAGCATTGGGCTGTCCTCAAAGTTGAAGATTTCAGGGTGGTCCTCCTCCTGGTATATGTCGAACCACCGCCGGCCAGCCTTTCGGTGTTGCTTGCTGCGGCCTACCGTGGCGAGGTCGCCCAGGTAGTGAAACTCCTGCTCTACGAACCCCTTGTAGTCTATCCCCCTCGCGGGAGTCGCGATCTCCGCGCGTTGTAATATGCCACCGGCTGGTCGGTCCATATATCTGCCTCCGGGAAGTCCTCGTCATCGTGACACCACGCCTCCCTCCGGTAGTGGTCGCAAAAGAGGATGGTGGGTTTGACGATGCAGCAGGTGTGATGCTTGCACTCTGACAGCTCTGTCGCCAAGAGGGGGAATTTCCGAACCTCGGTCGTGATCTCGTCTCTCCAGGGAGCCTCGCGGTCCTTCTACTCGATCAGATGGAGGTGGCTCATCCTGAACCAAACGCGGCTTAGCTCGTCATGGCCATTGGGCGTTGCGTCACAGGGTCCCTCCGAGGTGTACTCGGGATCTTGTGGATTCACGGGTTTGTGTATGATCGCGATGCTGTGGACCGTGTAATCACCTCGTTCTGTCGGTGAGAAGGGCCTCGTGGACATCTAGGGTCGTACATCGCGCTCTGAATAGTGAACAATGCGTGTTCTACACATGTTTGCGAAGCCAGGTTTGCAATGATTTGGTATGTCTTTACTTTGGAACAGTATATATTCGAAGTATTTGAGTCTCTACGCTTCTTTTTACTCGGGAGGGGAAATGCTGCTAGCAAGCATTCTTTTGTCTAGACTCTCGAGTGTTGTCCCTTGAGAAGGGAAACCACCCACGGCCTTACCCCTTCCGGCAGTCGAGCAATCTTTGTCTCTTCTTCACCTCCTGACACCAACCTTTGCTACCCTCAATTCAATATGCCCGTCTGGGGTGAAGCAACCTGCATTGTTTCAGAAATTTGACAGGTTGACAAGTGCCGAAACACTCTTTTACCAAGGGATCACAACGTCTGCACCCCAGATCAGAGGATGTCAAATGCCTGCTTTCCGATGGCTTGGCATCCACGCAAGGCATATCAACACATAGTAGTTTCACTATAGGAGTAATATACCTACTGGCTGTCGTGGTCTGGGGATGGCTTTTATCCGCCGTCTTTCTGTTTACCCGCTCGGCAGCGGCTCCGTCTCTTGGCGCACGGTGACGATGGGCACGGGGGAAGACCCGATTCAGACTGGCGGGCGTGATATCCGAGTAGAGTGTTGACAGTGGGTGAAATGAAACATGACCTCGATTTTCTGCGTCTTAAAAGCTCTGGAGGGGGCTATTCCCCCAGAGGCCCTCTTGAAGCTCAAAATGTCCCATTGCGCGTAGTTCTTCCCTCAGCCTACAAGCTCAAGCCCGTCACTCCCAAGATGAAGCTCTCCACCACCCTCGCCGTCCTCGCGGCCGCCGCCGCAGAGGCACACTGTACGAACTCCCTTTCTCATCATCCGCCCCCCCCCCCTTCAGCCTTCAACCTAACTAACCTCCCCAAGACACCTTCCCAAGCATAGCCAACACCCCCGACTGGCAATACGTCCGCCAAACCTCCAACTACCAATCCAACGGCCCCGTCACAAACGTCAACTCCCCCGACATCCGCTGCTACCAGCTTCGCCCCGGCTCCGGCGCCCCCGGGACATACACCGTCGCCGCCGGCTCAACCCTGGCCTACAACGCCAAAGCGTCCATCTCCCACCCGGGCCCGATGGCAGTCTACATCGCCAAGGTTCCCGCCGGCCAAACAGCCGCGACCTGGGACGGGAGCGGCAAGGTCTGGAGTAAGATTTATCAAGACAGGCCGAATCTAGGGGGGAGCATGACTTGGCCTAGCAACGGGGCGAGGAGTATTAATGTGCCGATTCCGAGGTGTTTGCAGAATGGGGATTATTTGTTGAGGGCGGAGCATATTGCTCTGCACTCGGCGGGGAGCACGGGCGGGGCGCAGTTTTATATCAGTTGTGCGGTGAGTTTTCTCTGTTTTCTTCGTGAGTAAGGGGAGGGAGGGGAGACTGATGGGGATGACAGCAAATTACTGTTACTGGCGGGTCTGGGACGTACAGCCCGAGGAACCAGGTGTCGTTCCCTGGGGCTTACAGCGCTACTGACCGTAAGTTGTTCTTTGATTGTCATGTGCGAGGGGCTGAAACTGATGATTGGTAGCCGGTATCATGATCAACATTTACTATCCTGTGCCCACGAGCTATACCCCTCCTGGTCCGGCGGTTGAGACTTGCTAGATTGGTCGTTGTAGGTCAAGACAGGGGTCCAGGGGTTCAGGGGTTGAAGTGGGGGGCGGTTTGGTGAGCAGATGTCTGGCTTGAGAGTGGTGTACATGTAAAGTTCATGCCGCAAATGCAAGGGTTCGTGGCTGTTATTATGCTCAAATCCAAGACCGATGGTGCGTCTCTTGAGTGTTGTCATTAATTTTTATCACCTTCATCGAGGACTCACGAGGATCAAAGTGGGCTGAAGGTTCCAGATATGAAATGATGCGTTCAAAACGACAGTCTCGGTATAACCTAACAATCAAACATCAAACCGTGACGCAGAGGGCACACACATCAGGCAGTAGCCTCGTCAGTCGAATATCCATCCCGCTCATCAGCCCCTCTCACTTCCTTAACGACCAGGCAGCTTCACCATCCCTGCCACAACGTCAGCACTTTTCTCTCTCTCATTGACTCCAGGGAAAACTTACACCCATCCGTCTGTTCCACCACCGTCTCCTTGATTGCACACCTATTCGCCACCGCCATCTGCTGCTTCTGAATACTCCCACACCCATCATAAAAACACTCACTCTTGTCCATCGCCCTCTGCAGACTATCCCCCTTCCACCCAAACATATAATCCGCATGCGTCCCACCCCCCGTCCCCTCAAAGCTCCACACAAACGGGTTCTTCCCTCCCGACGGCCACATGCTATTAAACTTTGTAGTGTCCCACACCGTCTCAAACGCAACCTGCGGCATCCGGATCGGATGCGAAGAAGGGCACGGCCCCGCGTTGAGGAACCCGTCCCGGGTGACGGTGTTGTACATGTGGGACTGGTGGTCAGGCGAGTCGAGGTTTTTGCCGTCCCAGCAGGCGGGGAAGTGGTGGGTGGTGAAGATGCCTCCGCTGCAGGGGCCGGTGGGGAAGTCGTCGAGTTCGCGGCCGCGGTTTTGGCCTTGGAGGCATTGGTAGCGGAGGCCGACGCGGGGTTTGCCGGGCTCGGTCGGGGTGCCTACTGTCATGCGGAAGCCCTTGGGCGAGTAACATTCATTGTTAGTGCCTGAATCAGGCAGGTAATGAGGAAGGGGATCTCCTCACAGGGGGAAAAGAAGTAATCTTCTGCTTCCCCAGGTTATCTCTCGTGAGATCAAACTGGGTGTAATACACCGTCAACCCTCCCTGCGCACCCTGGGATCCACCCAGCAGAGGCTGGACGGGGAGCACAGGCACGCGGTGGTACGACCCGTTGGTCGGGTGCTTGAAGTAGAGGTGGGCAGTCCAGTAGTTGGAAAAGTCCTCCGACATTTGGCAGGTCGTGCAGGTGGCTCGCTCGCCGACGTCGCCTTCCATGGTGGCGTTGAAGGCGTTGCCGCCGACGATGTGGTGGACGTGAGCGGAGGGGATGTTGCCCGGCTCGACGACGGGGTCGAGACGTTGGATGGTGAGGGTTGAGCATGGGAAGCGGAGGCCAGCCTGGACGGGCGCGATCAGACCCACGAGGGTTGCGGCGAGGGACTTCATTTTGGCTCACGCATGAAACGAGGAGCAAAGTTTGTGGAGGAGCAGAGCAAAGAAACTTGCTGCTGGTGTCGCGTCCTCGAGGTACAGTTTTTATACTCTACCTACTCACCCACCGGCACTTCTGTAGGTCTGGCTTTTCACACACCAGCCCGCTGCCATCACCGCGATATTTACCAACGACTGGTATTAAATCCACAAAGACAGCGTCGGCCATGCTCCTCGAATCGGGTCAATTCCATACATTGCCCGGGTTCTTAACCGGTATCGAGCTGGGGAATCAAGCTTTCTGTATGGACGGGCCCCCCATCGGCTGCCGCATCTCAATATAGGGGCCGTATGGTCTATACTACTCCGGTCTATCATCAGGTCTCGGCATATCCAGCTTGTTGTATTCTGCCTCCTGGATTGGTTGTTGACATAGTGCCGCGAGCCGGGTGCCGAAACTGGTGTGTAATTCTAGGCCGTTTGCCGCCCAAGCTTTCTTGAGGTTTTGGTCACTTCCCGTGGGGTGCGAATGAGGATGGGATATTCTTGGGTGTTGATCATCGGCCCGGCATGGTTACCAAGTTGGATTGATGCTGGCTCTAGTTCCTGCCCATGGTTTAGCCGGGATAATACATCACTGGTGTAGGTGAACGCAGAATAGGAATGATCGCCGTCGATATATGTATGATACTAGTTTTTGCTACCCTATGTACATTGAGCCTTTGATCCTACCAACCAGGTTCTTGCCTTGTCCACCTTCCAGCGATCCTCCATTTCCCCCCCGGTCACTCAAGAGAACTGAGAAAAGAACTCCCAAGTGTTCCTCGGCGCAAACGGCGTCGAAGACCCAGCATCAGTCTGGCTGGGGTTGTGATCACCACGGTGAATAACCCACGTAACAGGATACCCCTCCCTGCAGCCCTGATACACCGTCTTGACCGAGTTCTGTCCGTTGGGCTGTGGCTCAGGGTTGACGGGCGTGCACCCGTTGTTCTTCACAAACCTATCCCTCAGCTGCCTGCCGCCGGAAACGTTGAGGACCGAATCCGAAGTGCCGTGCTGACCGTAGAAAGCAACAGGGGAGTTTCCTCCGTTGCAGCCACTCAACTGGCTACCGGAGATGACGGCGATAGCACGGATCATGGTAGGTCTGGCACAGGCGACTGCATAGGACATGGCGCCGCCGTAGCTGAACCCAGTGGAAAACCGCTGGGTGGTCTCCACGCAGAGATCGGCTTCGACTCTCTTGACGAGCTCATCGAAGAAGGTGACGTCCTCGCCGCCCTGGTTGGCCCAGCCGGCGTTGAGACCGTTGGGGACGACAAAGATGGCGGTGTTGTTGGCGAGAGCGTTGAGGCCGTAGTAAGGGAGGGCGCCGCCCTGGTTGATGTTCTCGCCGTTGACGATCTTTTGGGCGCTGCCGCCGAGCTGGTGCCAGGTGAAGATGAGCTTGTGGGCAAAGTTGTTGTCGTAGCGGTCGGGGATCTTCATGATGTACTGGCGTTGCTTGCCGTTGATGGTGATGGTGTACTGCTGGCTTCGGATGGTGTTGGCCTTGCCGCAGCCTGCGGACCGTTCGGCCATCACGGCGCCGAGCAAGCCCAGCACCAGGAGCGACAGGACTGTCAGGAGGTTGGATCGACGAGGCATCTTGGGCTTTGGTAAAGAAGACGGTCGGATTGGGGGTTGATGGTGAATGGGTTGAGACGTCTTCTTCACCTTTCCCGTCCTCATGATGAGCTTTTATACCTGTCCCTCAACACTAATTTTTCCATCTCCTCCATCTGCCGTGCTCGAGTTGGGGCCGCTGTCAGGAAGAAACACACGAGTTTAATCTCTTGATATTTGCCTTGCGTGGTTGTTCTCCTCATCTCCTTCACAGAATGTCTTTGACAGGCGCGCTTGACGCCTCGCTCACCTTCGCTGCCCGTGGAGTTGAGTATGGAGGAGGAGGTTTGAGCTGGTGGTACCTGGTAGGTTGGCCGGACAAGTCAGATGCGCACCAATCACCGTCGGCGGAGCCCAGCTGTCTGCTTAAATATCCAAGTCCTTGGGAATTGGGCTTTGATCAGCCGGAAGAGGAGGATTTAACCGCCCGCCCTTCACGACATCAACCTTTTTTTCCATCAGCATCAAACACCACGGAGGGAATGCTTGGCACTGTTCTGTGGTCTTTCGACTGATCGGCTCGAGATGTGTTGGAAATACTTTGGATGTTTTGGGAGAGGCGCACGAATCGCAAAGAGGCCAGGAGGGCGTCTTGTAGCACAGCATCGATATTGATGATCAGAGCCGCGTGTAAATGATTGATTGAGGCTCAACTTCCCCGCATCTTCGACATTCTGTCCGGTATTTGATTTTATTTCCCGATCGGAGTCTGTTTGTTCAAAGGTAACGTGCATATTTTCGGGCCTCGATGCCCTAGTGGGACGGTTCAGGGGCTCAGGGGTAGGCGCAGCTAGTCAGGGGCAAGGACGGCTCGAAGGCGAGGAAGGGGGGTGGGGCTCGTAACAAGTAGACTGGAGGCTTCTCCTTTCTTCGAGCAAGTGATGAAGTTTGACATGGAACCTATTCGCCACACTAGGTACCATAGCATACCTAGGAAATCATATACCTGATAACAAAGAAAATGGCCTGGTATTGCCCATCTTCAGACATCTGTGCGAACACGAAAGCAAAGAAAAGGGCTCACAACAAACTGTGACTACATATAAAAAAAGAAAAAGAAAAAAGAAAGGGTTTATCATCACTGTTTTCAGTCAGCATAAGACCTTACCCGCATCCTAAACTCACCTGTTGATCAGACACCATTATTAAGACAAATGAAGTACAAGATAGTCAAACCTGGAGCACTCAACCACCTGCAGAGACCCCAGCGCTGTACATCATTCCCTCGCCTAACTCTACATACAGGGGATTTCCAAAGATCCATACCTCCCATCTACCTCTCGTTAACATCATACCTCGGAAACTCCCCAAACGGATTCTCCCTCTCCCTCTCCTCCCTCACCCGATCAGCATGCGCCTCCCACCCGTACGGATCCTCCTCCGCCCCCCTATTCTCACTATTCGCAAAAGCAGGAATAGTAGGCGACCCCGGACCCTCACCATTCTCCTCAGGCCGCCAAGGCTGCATCCCCTCCGGAGAAGGCGACCTCGTGCCCTCCCCCTCAGACGTAGGCGGCGTGACTGTATCCCCCCTGCTCTTCCCACTAGACGAATCCTCACTAGCATAGGCCTCTTCCTGTTCGCGTAGCTGATCAAGGACCGGGTCGTCAACTTCCCGGCCTTTTCCATTGGAGGGTGGCGGTCTGCTCGGCCCGGGGTCATCGCTGCGTTTCTTGACGACGGTGATGAATCCAGGTTGACGTGCGGAGCGAGCTGCCAAGCCGTTCACACCGTTGCTTGCCTCTTTGGGCATCGCGATAGCGTTGGTGAGGCCGATGATGGCGATGACGGCGATGGTGTACTTCATATTGAGAATTCGAGATCGTGGTTTGTTGGACAAGAGCTTGCCAGAAGTCTTGGTTTCGAAAGAAAAGCCGTATTAAGCACGAGGCTTAAAGGAATGTTGAAAGTGCGGTCTTGCCAGAAGCCGAAAGAAAAGGAGAGTGAAGATTGGAGACTTTCCAGAAGTCGCCAGATATTGCTGTGAAGGAATGATGTGCTGATGATGGAGATAGGAGAACATTACTGCAGTCCAAACCGCCTCTTATGTAGACTCGGAGCATCCCAATCCAATCCCGTCCCGGACCATCGTAGGTTGGATCGGAGAGACACCGGAAGGTCCTCAGGAGGTCGAAACACGTTCAGCAGTAGACGCTGTGAGCCAAAGTGCTGTAGCATCTTGGCAGTTCTTTTTGGAGTCGTTGTCGGGGCGCGGGGGCATTCCGCCTTCGGCGTGTAAGACTGTTGCGGCGGAGAACGAGAGTTGTGGTCAGCAGGAGGAGACAAGAAGGCGTCCAACTGCTAGCCATCTCACATAAGCCTGGCGAGGAACACTCCGTACTTTTGCAACATAATTTCCCAGAGCCCGGTGGAATTGTTACAAACCATAAAAAGTCTTGCAAACCAACGGTGACATTCGTACCAAACTGACTTCATGTCATACCAACAGGGATGTCGAGAATTCCGTTGCTATATGCCGTCTGCGACTGTGAAAATCGTAGGAGCAGTCAGATGCTGTGATATTGCGTGAGGCAAAGGGCATAGACTTCAAAGGAGAGTTGATGTGGTATTTAAATGTGTAGAGCGTGAGTAAGGATAGTTGGGTACATAACCTCCCAGGGTAAGTAAGGAAAACAAGTATGAAAATAAGAAAAGTTGACGAGAATTTGTCTACACGCTGTAAAGCTCAAGCAAATTATTCACTCTTCACGTTGGAAGCTGAAGTTCATAGTGTAGAACTGATCGCTTTGAGTCTGTGTTGGTATGCTTTCGTGTGAACGTTGAAGAAGAAAGCGCAGAGACGTGACAGAAGTCGATGTTTTTGGTTCGAAGCTTCGAATGAATTCACGATGACGGACTGTTGTCTAGGTGGTCAGCATGCCAAAGCCAGCTCTAGGCTGAAGCGGGTGCCCCTGATGAAGAAATGAAAGGGCCCGCTGGTCGGGCGAGCGAACGTTAACGTGCATGATAAGCGAGCCGAACAGACAAGCGAGCCGAACACTTTCCACCACCCCACTACAACTATCTTTAATTACACAACTATAATACTAGGAAACCATAATAATTAAACCAGAAACAGATGAATCAGATGATTCTGCAGCCTCCTTGCAGGTGCGTACATTATGGCCTGGCTTACCGCACACGCCACAGCACTGAATCTTCGGACGAGACCCCTTTACACTACTATTACTTTATCGATCTTCCTGGATTACCTGCTTACCTACAGCCTTCTAATCCAGTAGATCCTGTACCTCTTATACAGTAAGTGACCCTCTAAGCCGCACACGTATTTTTTTAGCTCTCCGGCGCTTATTTAGTGCCTCGTTAGCCTTACGGAATACAGTATT